CCCCCTCCCCGTCGTCATCTTTCCCTTCCCCCGCTCCACGACGGAGCCGCGATTCTTGGCTGGGATTTGTGGAGTACTAATCTTTGGTCTGTTCGTTCTTGGGAGCGCAGGAGCTGCTCCGCGCCAAGTGCGTCTCGCCGGCGGAGTACAACGCCGCCAAGAGGCCCCTCGTGCAGCGCCTCGCCGCGCTCGGCGTCGTCGTCGACTGCCCCGACGCGGACGACGCCGGCGGCGTGCCGGCGACCAGGTCGTCCGCGGAAGAGTGGTCGGAGATCGACCTCCAGGACCCACCGCCGCCGCCCTCCGCCGGCGACAAGCCCAAGCACAAGGCCTTCATCTCGCCATGGAAGAGCCGAGGCAAGAAGGAGCAGGACGTCCCGCCGCGGCCGCCGCTGGCCCAGGTGGACCAGAACAACCACGCTTCAGTCCTCATGGCCGAGATCTCGCCGTCGGAGGCGACGCCCGCCGGGAAGGCCGACAAGGGGAAGAGGAGGCACCTGACGGCCATGTTCCACGGCAGCGGTGGCGGCGAGAACAAGGAGCCTGCGGCGGCGGTGGAGGAATCCGCCGACGAGAAAGGCAGGAAGAAGAGCTCTTGGGGGTTCAATGGGCTCAAGAAGTGGAAGAAGTCAGGCGCCGGTGGCAATGAGGATGCCCCTGCCGGCGGCGACTGCGCCCCGCCGCGATCTTCATACAGTGAGTGCCGCCTTGAGGCGAGCCCCGCCCCGGATGCCAAGCGGGCCAAGAAGAAGCTTCATGCTGCTGCAGCTGTTGCTGCCGGCGATGTCTCTGCTTCCGATTTGGCGAATGATAAGGTACTGCAAATCGTTGGCCATTCTGAATTTGTGTATAGCAATATGCAGAGAACAGCACTGCCATTGAGCAAATCAGCAGCACTGGCTTAGAACTCGAGACATTTGAATTGTCACTACAGAATTGAATTGAAGTTTGAGCCTCTGTATTTGAACTTTCTACTGAAGGTTTTGGTGGAGGAGACAAAGAAGGAGCTCTCAAGGATTCAGGCCGAGCTATCATCGACGAATCGGAACCTCAACTTCTCGTAAATCTCAAAAACTCTTCTTGTTCTTGGTAGGTAATTGGAGCTCTTGTTTGATGTGCTAAATAAGAGTGTTCTTGGTTTTGCAGGGATCAGCAAATTGAGGCCATCTCAACAAAGCTCCCACTGGACAAGTCTGACCTCAAGACATTCTTCCCAAAGTACATAAAAACACTCAAACAAGCATTCCTCATCATTCCTCAACAATCAAGCAACCATTCCCCATTCAGATTGAACATTTTTTCACGATTCTTATCGGCGGTACTGGTTTTTGCAGGGCATGGTGTGACCAGAACGGGGACGGTGTGATCGACGCCGCGCAGAAGGAGTTCAAGGGGCACGTCGAGGAGATGGAGAAGCAGAGGGGGGAGGACATCGCCGGCAGCGGCGAGGGCTGGGCGGCTGCTTTCGATGAGGACAACTTCAACCCCAGGGCCTTCTCAGATGCCAAGGGGAAGAAAGTCCAGGAGAGCCTTGACAGTGAGCATTTCACCAACCCTTTCTATGATGAGAAGAAGAACAGCAACCCATTCTGGAGCCAAAGCTACAACTGATGCAGCTGGGGCCTTTTGTGTGACGAAGCACTGTGTCTTGTATCTTGCTAATAACGTCGAGGAGATGGTTCAATTGTTATATTGGACCTGGCTATTATGTGTTGTGTTTTAAGATGTAACAAGCTGTATTTGGTTAAAGATTGTATTGATGAAGCACCTTGGTTAATATCATCCAGTGTTGATACCTGACAGCCCCAAGATCTTTTAGAATGGCATGAATTAGAATGCAGTGTTGAGCACGAACTAATAGATTTGTGAATAGTATCTATTTCGGAGCGTAAATCAGCGGCTCTTCTAACTTGCAGAGAACATCATTTGCAGCAGTGCAAATCAGCGAGCTCAATAGATTTGTGAATTGAATTGAATTGAATTCAACAAGTCTTCCTCACTGCAGAGAGAGGATTAAGCATCATATTCAGCTATGACACTTGAGCACCTGCGTACATATACTCATCTCAAGTCAAAAACAAAAAGTAGTGCAGTGCGTATTATATCATGAGAAGAAAACCATACTGATATTGTGCTGATGCCTTACAAGTCTGACATCCAAAATTGATTCAAACCTGACCATTGTCTAAAGATCACTGCTCATTTAGCAAAAGCTACTTGGAAGAAATTATTGCTACCCAGACATCAGGGCAATAAAAATAGGGAAAGAGTTTCCGCTCCAACTAGTGGAACTTGTCCCGCCCAAGCCTCTGAAGATGGTAATTGATGGTCTTGGCCGCGTTCTTCGGCCTGCCCTTCTGCAATCAAGCCACGAGTAGTGTTAGAAAACAGAAGGATGGATGGATTAATGCTTGAAGTGAAAACAAAACATTCAGGGAACTAAAAGAGTGAATGGTGACCTGAGCCTGGGTACAGGTGATCAAGAGCTCCTTCTGCCTCGTGCACTTCTCATCGATCTGCTTGTTCAAGGCGAGGCAGTTGAGGAAGGCCGTCATCTCCAGCATGCACGGCTTAACGACGCCGCCAAACTTCTTTGAGTTTATGTACAACCCAGCTTTCCGACCCATCCTGCCATATCACTTACAAGTGTGAATTTCTATGCAATAGCAAAGGCTGACTACTCAGTGACCACTCAGGCACTCACAGTCAGTACTCGGTCTATAACAAATGCCTACAGGAGCAACACAATAATGCGTGGGCAAACAGGCAATGCGAGAGAAATGAATCATCTGAACCAAACATCTGGAGAAAAGAGCAGAGCATGTGGCGATGTTTTACTAGCCAGTGTAGCGTAGGAGCAACAGAGTTCCTCCAACAACCGTGAACTGCGAAATTTTCTTGCAAAGAAACAGTGTGGCGCTGCCTAATCTAGGAGAAACCGAGTTCCTTCAGTAACTGTGAACCGTGAAATTTTCCTTCAAAGAAACAGAGTAGGTATATGGTACGCGAAGATGCACCAAATTTGTTGGCCATCACGGCAGTAGGACACAGCGGGCACGGCATCGTCTAAAGAACAAGCACGTCATCAGACTAATAACAGCGGCGTGTGCTCATCTATCCCTGCGCCATCGTCTGGTGAAACGAGTTATGCTGAGACGAGCAATGGGTCGAACAGGTTGTGTGCGCCCGGAGCAGGGGCGGATCTACTGTAGTAGTCAAAAGAAAATCACAACAGATGGATGGTACGTATTTCTGTTACCTTGCCTTGATCTGACTGTCGCTGCAGATTTACCACGCCGAACCGGAGTCAGCCTGCGATAATGGGAGGGAAAGGGTTAGGATTTTAGGCCTGCTGTTCTACGGGGTTCAGAGAGGCGAGGGAGGCGCCACGGAGGAGAGGGAAGGGGGGCGGGATGGGGTGGTGGCGGGAGCGAGCACAGGCTAGTAGGGGAAGATGCGAGCGGAGCGAAGGTTACCTGCGCCGTCGTCGGGTCGCCGAGGTTTCTCCGCCGCCGAGCCGCTCTCCCGCACCGCACGGACCTCCTCCTGACTTGGAGAAAAAGATGTAGTACTACTCTAGCGAGGGAAGAGGGCCAAGGCCCGGGGCGAGCGTGTATGTTTGGGTTTGAGGCCCAAACTAGCCCTACCCAGCATTTTTTGCCTAGCCCATGCAGTGTGTTTTTTTTTACCACTAAAACAATGCAGTATGTTTTTTTCCCTGTCCATGAGTCGTCCAGTGTTAGCTAAATAAATTTCTCTCAAAAAAATAAATGAACTAAAAATCATACACTTACACACAAAATATATATATATATAAAAGGTTATTCCACCAAGCCAATTTGAATTCCTCAAATATGCCTAATTCATGCACAAGTGGGAAAAGGGTGTGAAGGTTTTGGTAGAGAAGGAAGAGAAGGGGCTCTCAAGGATCCAGGCTGAGCTTTGATGAATCGAAACCTCGGCTTTCATTAGTCTAAAAAAAACTGTTATTAGAAGGTAGTTTTCCCTCTTCTTTCAAGATCGAGAGTTAAAAAAAAAAGTGTTCCACTCGCAAAAAAATTTGTGTTCTTGGCTTTGCATAGGTCAGCGCATCGAGGCCATCTGGCAAAGCTTATAGCGGGTAGGTCTAACTTCAAGACATCCTTCCCGAAGTACAGACGATAACCAAACAAGACTTCCGCATTTCAGATTGAACATCGTATTCTAACGATTTTGAGATGTCAGACATGTTATGTAGGGCATGAACACTGTGTTCAACTCGCGCAGGAGGAGTTTGAGGCGATGAAGCAGAGGAGGAAGATCGTCAACAATGGCGAGGGATGGAGAGCTGGCTTCAACGAGAATGACTTCAACCCAGCGCCTTC